TCTAAAACAGCCAGTTGACACAGTCCTTCAATCTGCAAACCTACCATTGCTTAATAGAAATTAATAGGCCAACTGATTCAAGAAATACTATGTAAAGACGAGTATTTTTGGTTTAACTTTGAAAGAAAATTTTACTATATTTGAAAAATATAAGCAAAGCATATTTCCAAAGACAAAGGTTCTGGTGGGTTGGAAAGGGAAGAAACAATTTGCAAAATCACACTCTAGTATATGAAAAGACTGCAGATTTTAGTCTACTAAAATCCTCAATATATTTAGCAAATCCCCAATACATTTTTGCTGAATTGAAGGAACTCTGAACATATGTTTCTTTCCCTTTTTTAGCATTGATAGCAAGTGAGCGTAACATGAATTAAATTGATAATAACTTGTGGGTTTCCTTGTTCATAGAAAATAATGGGTACCTAAATCCATTCCACCTGAATGTCATGTAATGGATAACCCTAAGTGAGGGTTAATACAAATGCCAACCTGTCTAGACGTTCCTTCCTGTCAATGAGTCTTCTCAGAGTCTCAAAGTAGTCAGGTAATCAAATACATCTCTGAATTTAAATTACTTCAGAACAAGAACAAGTTAATGTGATAACTATCTAGTAGCCCAAGGTCTATGTAAAATTATTCTGTTCAGGTGAAGTTTTATAAAAGTGGGATCCCTTCCATTTATTCTTCAACTTTACAAATGTTATAAATTTGTCATCTGTTATATCCTCCAACTGGGAGACTATTCCAAAGGAAATATCCCATTTGTCTTCAACCTTGAAATCTTCCGGTTAGAGACCATATAATTATTTAAAGCACATGGCAAATGTTCCCTGCTTTATCCTAAGGGTTGAAAATGGAGGATTCTTGTCCTGGAAGTGGATGTGATAAATGTAATTTGTTAAGCTGGTCAATGAATATGGCATTCAGGGAGTCTACTGTATTTGACTTAAGGTATAATTGTATTTCAGGTAATTATAATTCATTGGGTCCAGTGCTCTCCTCTCTACATTGGAGAGGAGTTGTGTTAAGAAATGTTGTTTCCATATATAGACAGCATAGATAGCTACAGTGTTTGCTAGAAACTTAACACTGTTTCAGTGTTGAAGTTGGGCTGAACTGTTAAGAATGGAAGGGAGCTTAGGATCCATGTGGTGAGAACCACATTTTGTGGATGCGGAAAATAAGGCCAAGTGAAGTGATGTGATTTCTGAAGGGCCAGGTGTAGAACCCAGGCCTGAGGACTTCCACTACACCGAACTGCTAAAGCCGAAAGCCCACGTCAGAAGAAACAGTGACAAATGTTACATCTGGAAAATAAAAAGGATTTTCAATCTAGATCTTGCCCTTGCCTAAGGAGAATGCCCGTGGCCTTCCTCCTCTTGCTGGGTGATCCCTTCATGAGATGGGTCTTCTCAACTCCTTCTTAATTCTGTCTTATAAACCCATTCACAATACTCCTGTGTTCTGTGATAAGTTTTCCTGTAGGCCCTGCTGGCAGGCATCACCTTGAAATTCTGTCCATGGCTTTCTAGTGGGCGCCTTAATTAAATTACCTTCAGTATAAATTTATCTTTATTCCCAGCTCATAAAATTCTACATAATGGAGATGATGTATGATGCTCACATCTATTATTCCTAGCTCTGGTCTGCCTCTTGTTTTAGATTTCCAACTGGAGAACAGGACAAGTCTTCTCGAATGTACTGGCACTGCGTGCTCAAAAATGAACTCTTACCACTACTTCCAGGTCAGCTCCCCATCTTAGCTAGCCACTTTGGGCCTGAGTATTATCTTGATCTCACTGATCCAGTCTGGGCTTCATTGCCTCCCATTAGGATCACAGCAAGGACTCTAACTAGCTTTCCTGCTTTAAGTAAGCCAATGAATCTACCCTATGTACTGATGGCAAATGTCTGTTGCAAAAAGAGAGCTCCAATCATATTTTTCCTGATCAAAACTTTCCAGTGGTTTCCAATTACCTGTAAAATAAAATCCAAACTTCTTAACCTGGGTACTGTCAAACTGGGTCATCATTCAACCTGCATTTGTTGAGTGCCACCTGGATGCCATGCCCTGGTGTTAGGTACTAGAGACTTGGCGGCTTAATAGAACACAATCACTGCCCACATTGAACTTTCCACTCTAGGGGAGGGATCCAGAGTAGCAAACAACCATCAAACAATGTATATAACACTGTATGTGCGTGTGTGTGTATGTGTCAAGGGCCATGACAGAGGTAGAGAATGCTCTAAGATAAAAGAGAAACAGCACCTAGCCCAGACAGAGGTAGAACAAGATGGGAGAAAGGAAGGTGGAGTGGAATTAGGGAAATAGGGAAGGCAGTCAAGGGACACCTTCCAGGAGACAGTCCACCAGTTTGAAATGTGAGGAGGCAATCAGACAATCCGGAGAGGTATGGTGAGGGATGTTTGACCATGTTTCAAAGGGAGTGTCTAGCATGTGCAGCCTTCTCTCTGAATTCCTCTTCCTTGTACGCTGGCCTATATCTCCTTAACACACTTCCTCATCTCCTTCTTGTTTACCTCTCCAAGTTTTCAAAGTCAGGCTCCATTACCATGTCTATGAGGTCTGTTTGATAATCCAGCTAGAAATGGCCCTTGTAATCTCTGAACTCCCTTAGCCTGTACCTGTGTACCTCCGGCATAGAGTTGCTTGGTGAATACTCATGGAATGAATGTCTATTGCCACCTCCTAACTGTGATCTAGAGCATCTCAACATCCATTCTAGTGCATCAGGCTTATCAGGCCTTCCTGCCTTTTCTGCCTCTTCTACTCATCAGGTAGGCATTCTCACCATCACCCAAATATACTTGGTGATGCTGTGCCAATTACCCTCTGCCTACTCAATCCCACCCATTCTTCACCGTCCAAACCAACTCCATTCCTTCTCTCCTGAGACCCATCCTACTCTGCTCTCGCCCTCCTCCATCCTTCTTTGGCCTTTAGATCAATGCAATCCTGCCTCTAACCGGACAGCAACTTCCTCGACAGCAGCACCATCTTTCACATGGCCCACCCGACAAATACTTTGGACAAAGTGGCAAGGAACTGCGGACAGATTTTCACATATCTTTGTTCATAGCTTTGAGCAGAGAGAACCCAGTTTCACAAATAACGCTGAGAGGTCACTGTGGAGGAAAATAAACCAGCTATAAAAAGGAGCACCTGAGATAGGAGGAAGGGGAAATTTATGAAGACTTGGGAGGAAAGTTTGCCCAAGGTCCAAGTCAAATCAAGTCAAAACCCACCGCTGTTATTTCCCTTTGTCTGCTTTACATGAATGGTTTCATTGGAACACTAAAGAGGTAGGGATTTTTCCTCCAGATATATAACATTGCCTCTTTGAGTATATCTCTGAGTTTCCACTGGAATAGAAAGGGGAATTATTTTGTAATAAGTTCAAAAGAACTATTTAGGATAGTTTTATTTATTTATATGGCTGTTTTATAGTTTTCTTACTGTGAGATTACATAAAGAATTGATGATCTGAGATAAAATATTTCAGGTATACTTGTGTCCCTTCCAAATTACTTGTTTTTGGAGATACAAATTTTCAAGTTTCAATAACATCTCTTACTTTTGGGGAACTTCTCCTTTAGCATTTCTTCATATAAACGGTCTGTGGCAATTGGGAAGAACAGGGGAGAGATGGGTGCTGGGGCTTTATCTCATCTCCTATAATGAGGGATGTTTCCTCCTGACGGTTAGTTTATTAACTTCTGGCAGGTCTCCAGGAGTAAATAAAGGTTGAACATAGTTAGGGACTACACCAAGACCTTCTGCAGGATCCTCACCCTTTGTCAAGTTACATCAGAGTCGAGGTCTGCAATGGGATTCAGTAAAAGGAGGGCCTTGAGGACTTCAGTAACTAATCCCGCAAGAGGCATAAACCTGAGATCACAGTTCCCCTTTGACATACGTAGTTTCCAGACAGATACCTTCTAAATATCCACAGGGTTTAGGAAATTAAACTGAGACAAATCTTTGAAGCCTTATCCACATGAGCAATACACTTTGCAGGTAGAGATGTTTGTTACTGAATTGAAATCTTCTAACGCAGTCTCAGGGCCCTTAATTAGACAAGCTTTCTGAGTCAGATGAACCCGAGGAGACCTCCGCTTGTATTTTTTAGGATTTCTACAGGCTACAAGATGCATTACCTCAAACGAGTCCTGCTTCTAAGGGAAACCACTTGAAGCCTTTCTAAACTGGCCTTGGCTACTAGGATCTCCCATTTCCCAGTCTTTACCGGCAGTTCTCCCATTTCTACTTTCTTTTCTAGCCCTTCTATATCCTCCTCCTTCCTCTCTTTGTTTTCGGTTGAGCAGTTCACAGCCTGCACTCACTCTCAGGTATCTCTTTTAGAGAGTCGAAGGGCCAGAATGGCATCTTTTTCTTTTTCTGAGACAGGTTCTCGCTCTGTCACCTGGGCTGGCGTGCAGTGGTGCGATCTCAGCTCACCGCAGCCTCTACCTCTTTGGTTCAAGCAATCCTCCCACCTCAGCCTCCTGAGTAGCTGGGACTACAGGTGTGCACCACCACACTCAGCTAATTTTTAAAGTTTCTGTAGAGATGAGGTTTTGCTACATTGCCCAGGCTGGTCTCAAACTCCTGGACTCAAGCAGTTCACCCTCCTCGCCCTCCCAAAGTGCTGGGATTACAGGAGTGAGTCACCATGGCCAGCCTTCTTTTTCTTCTTAGTGGCACAGTTAGAGCCCTTAAGTTTCAGTGTCCATAGGACTAAACTGGGTTCCTCTCCTAAGCTTCAAATTCTCCCCCTTGGTCTGTAAACGCTTCCTCTTCTTTCCTCAAACTGGCTCATGCCAGTATAATCTTCCTTCAACTTCCTTCCATCATCCTCCCTTCCTTGTGATGACTCACTGTTGGGATTTCTTGGGCAGGGTGAGGAGTGGTAAAGACCAACCGCTAACTAACAGACTTGCCAAGTGGAGCATATGCCAAGAGTCCAGACTCTCACCTGAATGAGGAGATCGATAGCGAAAGTCCTCTTTGGTCAGCAGCAGGAGAGCTTTGCCATTCATTTCAAACGTGTTGCTGTCAATTGGCCTTAAAGAAAACTCATTTTCAGCCCACTTGAGCCACTGGGCTACGTCATCCCTGCTCCAGTAAATTGGCTGCAAGCCTGTTGGAGAGAGCGTGAGGCAGAAAGAAAGAGAGAAAGGTCTTGTCAGTTAGACAGCTGGAATAAAGGGAGGAGATCTCTGAATAGTTAACAAAATTGAGTCTCCACATCTCAAGAGCCCTTATGTTCAACTCTGAGTCCCCTCTCCAGCCCTTGTTTGAGCCGCCCCACCGGGGGCTTCTCCAAACCCAGAAGCAGCCTCTAAGAGGGGTCCAGGGAGCAGTTTGTACACCAAACCCTACTCCGGGGTGTGCTGTCAGATGAACACTTTTGCTTTTATTTAGAGGCAAAATGAGAAAAAGATCCTTTTCTATGTGTTTAAGGGATGGTAGGTCTTAGAGACCTGCCCTTCCTTGCCCAGTTCCAGGCGCTGTTCCAGGGTGCCCAAGGCACCCATGGGGGCTCAGAACTATGACACATGTCAGTGTGGTTGGAGGGTCCTCAGATTCAGAGCTGATTTGATTGCAGCCCAGCGTCCTTCTGAAGAAAGAATGTTCCAGAGCTGGGCTTGACCTTCCAAAGCTGCCAACTAATGAAATGTTCCCTGACACGTCTTCCAGGAAGAGCAAGTCACTCAGCCTCTGGGAAACCATCAGGCTGGCCTCTGCGAATAAGAGGGCAAGGCAAGGATAAAAGTCTTCTGCCTTTTTATTCTACTCACTGACATGAGAGCTTCCTGGTGGGGTGGTACTTGAACTCTGAGTAGGACCCAAGTGGGCAGGAGAGGGGTACAGAGCAGAGGCTGAGAGGTTGGCTCAGGTTGGCTCTCTGGGAGCCTGTGAGTCTATAGTTTTATTTTATTTTGCTGCTGTGGGAAATCTTTGATAAGTTAGAACAGTGGTTCTCAAAATGTGATCTCGGGACCCATCAGGGTTCCCGAGACCTTTGTGGGGTGCCTATGAAGTAAAACATCTTATCATAACAATATTAATTATTTGCCTTTTTCGCTCTCATTCTTAGGTGGAATGTTCTAGAAGGCATATGACATTGCGATCTTGCAAAGATTGAATGCAGAAACAGAGATGACAGTCCAGCCATATCTTCCATTAAGCCGGACTTTCAAGAGTCTTTCAAAAATGTGTAACAATGCTACTCTTCTCACAAATTACTTTTGGTCTGGGAAAATGTATTTTAAAATATATGTTTGCATTAATATAGAGTTGGCTTACTATTTTACTTGCTACATTCATAAATATTTTGTAAATACCCAGTTTTAATTTATATAATAATATGGTAACTACAGATAGCTATAACCCACATAAGCAAAAGCTCTTTGGAGTCTCCATTACTTTTTACGAATCAAAAGGAGACATGAGACCAAATTTAAGAACTGCTTGTCAGAAGAAGCTAGATGTTCAATGGATCTTCATTCTCTAAAATCACATGGTGTGAATCAATAGTTCAAATAGAGCAATGGCATCAGTGTTGCTAAAGGGAGCTTCCGTCTTTCAATATAAGTTACTTAAACTTGCTAAGAAGACTTCACAAGTGTGTTATAAAAGTGTCCCTTAGTTTGATCCTGGAAAAAATCACCTTTCATCCTAAAGCGGGCATGCCAAAGAACAATCTGCTTTGCTACATGGGGTGCTCTTCCTACGTGCTGAAGTGGGGAACAAACGGCTCAAATTCTCCAGGGCCTCTGGACATTCCAAGTGGCTCCTTTGCAAAGTGTAGTTTTTGAGGAATGGTAGTTGGCTTACTCTAAACCTGTGGAAGCCCCCCAAAACCAAAACCCGTTTTTTGTAGTGCACCAAAAAAAGAACTACTGGGCACTGGAACATTAGAGATGAGCATTTAAGAGTTTTTTTTTTCTTGGTGTTTTTAGGATAATTTTTTTTCACATGAAAACAAACAAGAATTTCAAATAATTTATGGTGTGTTACTGCTTTATGATCTTTAGAATAAAATACAGTCACTGAAGGTTTTGTTTTTGACTCCTGACTGGCCAGAAAGTGATGCCTATTAAAAACAGTCCACGGATATGGGAAGTACCAACTCTCTCCAATGACCTTGAAAACACATATCTGGAATCACAGGGAGGTAGGAGTGGCAGTGAGGGTTACTCAGCAAAATCTCCGTTTTCAAACTGGTAAAAACCTTAAACCTAACTCCTTACTGTCAATGGTGTCACCTCTGAACAAGAATGGCACCGCAATTTGTTATTATAGACCTTCCTCTCCTTCACACAGGGAGTTCCCATTTGGGGACACATGTCAGGGTCTGGTCCCTCGGGCCTAGGAAGGTGCCTGGAGGTGAGAGGTCCAGAGAGCAGAAGATGCTCGGGCAGAAACAGGAAAAAGTACGGGGTGGCTTATTGGAAACAAGGGCCCCAAAGCAAATACAGAACTGAATCCCGCTTGGGAGGGGAAATGAGAGTAAAATGCTGAAGTTTCTGCAGAGGACACGCTGCAATGGAGGGAGGCGGGTGAGAAGGGGGTGGGGGATGCAAGTAGTAATTTGAGGTTCTTTATATTCTATGGAAGAAAATACTCATGAGTAATCTTTTCCCTAAATACAAGAAGAGTCACACTCCAAACAGCTCTGCCGGTTAAGCACAACAGTTTCTCTTTTCACTTCCCATTAATCTCTCCCACAGCCCAGCCCCTGAAGCAACCAGGGCCACCGTGTGGAAACCCCCTCACCAGGAACCGACGCGAATGCCCTGGGCTTGTGTACAAGAGGGACCTAGCAAGTTACAGGGGAGACTGCGGCGATCCCAGCAGTCATACAAAAGTCATCCTGACCCAGCAAGCTACCTGCTCCAGGCCACTCAATAAATTTATCAGCGTCTCTGTTCTTCCCTTCGCATAAAGAGAGAAGTAGGTGGACACGTTCGCCGAGCTGGAAAGAGGCTTGATACACTTCGGTGTTCAAAGTCAAGACCCACTGTTACTTGCTTTTTAATTCAATAGAATAAAAAAGTTATGGTGTAGAATTGAGCCGGGGGAGAGGGGGAAGCCCCTTTTCCTTAAACCTAGAGCCCTTAAGACCTTGTGTGTTACAGTGTCTAAACGGAATACAGCCTTGCACCTGGAGGCAATTCTAATCAGGCTGATTTAATTTACTTAACAGTCATTTACTAAACACTACTATGCACCTAGTACTGCTCTAAGCATTTTATATGAATAGATATTAGCTCATTCAACTGCATGCTCACACAACCCTATGATAGGGATTCAGATGAGGAAACTGAGGCCCGATGCATTTAAGGGACTTGTCCAAGGTCACATAACCCTAGTAATGAGAGAAGCAGAGATTTGAACCCAGGCAATCTGGTTCCACAATCTGTGCTCTTATCCATCACACTATACTTCAACATGCATGTCCCATCCAGATCCAGAATTGAGACTGGTTTTGAACATCAATTAGGGATTCAAAAAAGACTGAGTGAATTGACTCCCACCCATCCAAGACTTAGATACTTGGAGACTTTCTCAAATTATCAACAGACTAAAAATATAGCCCAAAAATCTGTAGATCCCTGGAGAAGTAGATTTATAAATGGGAAGAGGAGGGAGGTGTAGGTGGGACTCTGCTTTTAATGCATCCAGGAATAAAATCCTCCCTTCACAGGCTACTTGCTCCCAGGCACTCATGGGTGCTTGGTCTTGAGAGTCTTACGTGGCTCACAGCTGCAAACGGAACAGAAGCTGTATGGGCAGAACGAGGGAGGTACATACATAACTTGCTTTATTTACGGCCATCTCTTGCAACTTTAATTCAACAAAGTCGAAGAATATAGATGTTAATAATGATTAGGAAAAGGACAAAAAGGAAAGAGGGAGACCATGATTCTGCACCCATGTTATACTATTCCCTGTGTACCTATCATGCCTCTGGAGGACTATTTACTAAGATCAGCATTTTTAATGCCAATTAGTTTCAGAGAATATTTGAAAAGAAAGTTGTACAGAGAAAATGAACTGCTGTGATTAAGAAAGTTACTAAAAATTCTACTGTACTTCTCCCCCACTCCCGAGTAGGTCAAGTAGATGGTGTCATATCCTTCGGTGACACACCCAGGCCCTTAAATTTATTTCTAATATTTCTTCAATTCCATGCTTTAAGGGGCAGCCACATTCATTAGTACATTTTCACCTGATTTCTTAAACTAATGATGAAAAACATGTTGGGAGACAGGACCCTGGATTTTATTCCCAGATCCGCCGTGAATTAACATTTGATTCTGGGCAGGACACTCAGCTTCTCTGTGGCTCAGTGACTTCATCTGTAAAATGAAGGGCTTAGAGTATGTGATCTCTATTCCCTTCAGGGTTTAATGTAGTCAATATGCTCCTATTTAATTTGAATCCAAAAAGCCAAAGAATACAAATACAGCCGGGATCTTTTTCTACAGAATTACTCCATGCCCACGGCCATGACCCTGAGATTTTGTAACTTCCTGAAGGATCTTCTGAATCACAGAAGACAGATTAATGCTTAAGAGTGTGTCATTATATTCTAATTCTTAGAAAAGTTATAATCCAGCTATGGCAACAATCAAAATAACTGCCTGCATTGGGGTAGTACTTCAGAGTTCAGAAGGTGCTTTCATACAGATTACTTCATGTAATTCTCACAAAAGCCCAGTGAAATCTGTTGCATTCTGATTTCAGTTTAAAAGATAGAAAACACAGGGCTTAGTCATTAGGTGATTTTATTGATTTGAGCAACACTCAGTTCAAGCTTTTCTGCTACAGTAGCCATTCAGCAAAACCACTCTTTATCCAAACTTTCTGCAGAAATAGGAATCTGCTCTAGGTTCTACGTGCTGGAGACAGAATCATAAAAAGTGAAAGATGGAAGCTCAAGCCTGAAAGTTAAGAGACTGACTCAGGATCAAGCTGCCCCTGATCCCCTGACTTTTCCCAACATCCCATGTTGTCTCATAACTTGATTCCACGACACACACCAATTCTGTAACCTTCAACACAGTGAGGACAGTTACCATGTCCTTGCTGAGTCATTTTCCCTCCAGATGAAACATTCTTAATTGGTCC